TTTATTTTTGTAAAAAAAAATCAAAGACTAGTTTTAATTAGCCAAGAGATGCGCCTGCCGCCAGTGGCGCTCTGAGGCAGCATTTCTTCTGCTTTCTTTCCCACTGGATGGAAGTCAGCGTTTTCTCAGCCAGCTCAGTCCTGCAGAGGAATCTTTCTAATCATGATAAAGACCAGTACTCTGCAGCTCGCTTACAAAAGCAACAGGCGTATTTTTCCCTTGTGGTTTCTAAGAGATTCCACTGTGCCCAGGGACAGTCAAAGACGCACCTCTATCTTACGGTGTCTTTTGTCATCCACACCTGGCACCTGGGGTCTATTTTTTTGGTAATTTAAAAGGTCACTTCTTATAACCGATTTCTTTGCACACAACACCTAGGTGATTTTGGAATTTGCATCTAAAGCAGCTGCACTTCCTTGTCCGAATTCCCAGTGTTGTGACATTTTCTGCACAGCTGCCTGTTTTGTGTGTGTCGTATGCAGGTGTAGGTGGTGTGTGTTGTATGGAGATGGTATGTGTGCGCAAGTGCACACGCCAGAGTTCTCGGTAGCATGTGTCTTCCTCCATGACTCTCGTGTGTTTGGAGACAGAGTCTTTCACTGACCCGGAAGCTGCAGATGGGCACAGATCTGAACTCCATACCTTCCAGCTTGTGGAAGCAGCACTCCGTCCACTCTCCCTGCCCACTTGGTTGTTAGAGAACATGGACGCCTCTGTGGGGTGACATGTTCTCTCTTCCTCATGTCTTTATTCATGTAATTTTTGATTCAGATGCGTGACTGTGCTTCTCAGGTGTCGTCTGTGCTCCCTATGTTGAGACGTGGTCTCTTGTTGAACCTGGAGCTCCCTGCTTTGGATGGCTGGCCAGTGAGACCCAGGCATCCTTCAATCTCTCTCTCTCCCAAGCACTAGGATTACAATCATACGCACCACACCTGGCTTTTGTTTTTCTTTGTTGTTGTGGGTTCTGGGTTTGGACGTCATCAGCCAAGTTGTCTCCCAAGCCTGCATTACGGGAAAGTTACTTTTTGCTTGGGACAAATGGAAAACTTGCCAGAGTGTTTTTATGGACTTGTTGCTACGAACTAGTCACGTATATAATCTCCCCTAAGACCCGTAGCCTGTTAGAGTTATCTGTAAAAGATGAAGGTGATGGGCATGACTGGCATGCCTTTTTGTGGGCTTGGAGAGAGAGAATGAAATATGGATGGGCAGCCTGAAGCTTCTGTCTGGTTATAGGCGACGTCAGTCTGTCAACCCCTCAGTCATCCGTGTGCGCAGGCTGAAGCCCGCGAGGGTTGCAGTGGATCCGAACAACTGATGAGGTTTGAACTGTGTCAGAACGCGCACAGTCGAGGAAGCAAAAGCCCTTCAACTTATTTTTCCCCCTCTGTCAGAATCAAATTTTCAGGCCGCTGAGAGAAACAACTTAAAAATCTACCTGCATTTCTGTAAGATCTTGCATTTTCTTTTCCCATCTCCACAAGCAGTGTGTCAAAAAACAGCGTGAGCTTAAATCGCTGGTTACTGAATCTCGTCGCAGAGTGCCAAAGTCTTCCAGACAACCTGACATGTGTAGGTAGCTTACAGTGCGTGAAGGGGAAGGAAGCAGGACACCTTTGGGGCGCAGTGTAACCACGCAGTTCTCGCTTTGCATTTGCTTGTGCAGTGAGGCTCCCCAGGGCTCCTTCAGGCACTCTGCCACCCAGTAGTGCAGGGAGTCCTGCCTCATTGAAGGGAGAGAAGATGCCTGTCTTTGTTAGTGTGGAGGATGCTGTGTGCATAAAAGCAGGGGCTCGCTGGGGAAATGTTCTATCATCCATCCATCTGCCTGCCTGCCTGTCTGTCTGTCTGTCTGCCTGCCTGCCTATCTATCTGTCTACCTACCTACCTACTTATCTATCTGTCTGTCCGTCTGTCTATCCATCCATCTATCCATCTATCTATCTATCTATCTATCTATCTATCTATCTATCTATCTATCTATCTCTCTATCTCTCTATCTCTCTATCTCTCTATCTCTCTATCTCTCTATCTCTCTATCTCTCTATCTCTCTATCTCTCTATCTCTCTATCTCTCTATCCATCCATCCATCCATTTATCTATCTATCTATCTATCTATCTATCATCTATTTATCTATCAATCTCTGTCTATCTATCATCTATCTGATCTATCTGCCAACTCTTTCTCTCGTGTGTTATGTGTGTGTGTGATGTGTATGTGTGCAAGTATACATACACGTGCTCATATATGAAGGCATGTGGACACCAGAAATCAACCTAAGGAGTCAGTCCTTAGGAGTCACCTGCCTCTCTTTTTTTCTTTTCCTTCCTTTCTTCCTTCCTTCCTTCCTTCCTTCCTTTCTTTCTTTCTTTCTTTCTTGTTTGTTTGCCAAGGTTTCTCACTGAAAATAGAGTCCACCAATTAGACTAGGCTGGCTGTCAGCAGTGAGCCTCAGGGCTCCTCCTGACTCCACTTCCCCACCACAATACCCAGTTTTTAGGCAGGTTCTAGGGATCCCAATCCAGGTCCTATGCTTTCACAGCATCACACGTTACCCACCAAACGATGTCCCAGGCCCCTCGGTGCTCTACATCCTGAAGCTACGTGATGTATTGTTTGAACTGCACGTTAGCCTCTGGCACACATCTGTCCCAGCTGGTATGGTGTGAACACCTGCCTGTAACATGAGGGGCCGGCTTGTTGGGGTTTCTGTCCCACCCGGTACCCCAGAGCCGGCATACCCCAAGGAAAATCACACACAGGACTCCATAAGATTATAAACTGATTGGCCCATTAGGTCAGGCTACTTATTAGCTCTTATAACTTATGTTACCCCATTATTCTAATCTATGTTAGCCTTACATGGCTCCGTACCTTTCTCAGCTGGGCAAGTTACATGCTGCCTCTTCGGTGGTCTGCGCAGGAGTGGCAGAGGAACCTCCCTGCTTCCCAGAATTCTCCTGTTCTCATTGCATCACCTCTACTTCCTGTCTGGTTTTCCCACCTATACTGCCTGCCTGGCCAATCAGCGTTTTATTAAAATATGATTGACAGAATACAGATAATTCTCCTGCACCACCTGCCAGTGCAGGCTGGGGTACCG